GGACATATATTATCTGCAGACAATAAACATGATATTTTTCAATTTTTCCTAGAAGGAAGAAGGCATGATGTTGGAATACTTAGGGATTCTCAGCTTATACAGAGTTTACAGATGTTTGCTTTCGATCTTCATGGGCAGCCAATGTGCATCTATGGGGACCCCACCTATCCCTTGAGGATCCATTTGCAGGCACCATTTTGCAATCGAGTGTTAACTCCTCAAATGCAGGCATTCAATTCAGCAATGAGTGAAGTTCATTCCTCAGTGGAGTGGTTGTTTGGGGACGTCATCGATTATTTCAAGTTTTTGGATTTCAAAAAAAAATCTAAAGATTGGACTAAGCAGTCTGGGGAAAATGTATGTGGTGTGTGCACTTCTTAGGAATGCACTCCCTTGCCTCTGTGGCAACCAAACATCAGAGTTTTTTGAGCTTGACCCACCCAGTTTGCAAGATTACTTTGCCTAAAAAAAGTGTAAAAATCCAGCATTTATTGCATTTAAGTTAAGAGTTCCTAGAGTTGAAATCTCACAAATGGTGAAGTTTTTTCCCCAAATGTGAAATGGAACATAAACTCAACTGTCAATTGTACATGTGTGTTTCACAACCAAAGTCCTTTTGTATTGTAAGGTCCATACATTGTTACTTTAAGTAGAATTAAAATAATAACATTTCTACATTTAAACTTTGAGTAAAACTTTGATGAACTGTCAAATTCTTCCAACTTGTGTCATTTGATATTTATTTCTTGGGGTCTAAGCTTGTTTCTGGTTCGAAATGTTATTTAACAGTTTTATTTTTATTTTCCTTTTTGAATTTAAAAAAAAGAATTTTAAAGAATTTTAAAACCAAACTGGTTTAAAATTCAACCAAAAACAAGTTTAAACCACAAAATAAACCTGCCTACTTCAAATTCTGAACTGAACTTTGGGTTGAAAGTATCAAATAATGACAACCCCACTTAACACAAAAAGACCTGCATAGGGTAACATCAACAATACAAAAAGGCAGACATCTTGAACCATGTTTTAAGATTTCTTTCGTAGCAATCTGTCAATAAGGGTCATCATGGCTGCTGTCTGTTGTTGTTGCTGCTGCATTATAGCTAAAATCTGACCCTGTCTGGCAGCTTCTTGTTGTTGGTGTTGTTTCCTTAAGGCAAGTTCTTCTGCTCAAAACTCATTTTCCTTCTCTGTTTTTTCCTTCAAGAATTCCACTGCATCATTTCCACTCCGACTTCGTTTGGTCTGCCTCCCTTGACCACCCTCAGCTGCAGATCTTTTTTTTGTCTCTCCAAATCACTCCATGGCCTCTTTTCGCATTTTCTCTGCAGTTTGCTTGTCTGCCTCAATCTTCTTTTGGGCTCCCTCAGAATCTCTGGATTCTTCTGCCAACTTTTCTCGATCTATTATTTCATTGATTAAAGTTTCAAGTTCAGTCACATCATCTACTGCGATGCCACTAGCTGATTCTTCCTCTTTCTTTTTTTCCAAGTGCTTCTTTTGAAGTTGTTCCATTCTTTCCCGGACACCTCTTTGTGTGACTTTGAATTTCACCTCTTCACTCTTATTCAAGGCTTCAGCTATTTCAGTCCACTTTTTACCTTTTTCATTACTTCCTTTCCTATACTTGTAAGATTCTTCCAGCAGTACCTCACGGCATAGCAAAGTATCATGTATTTCTGTCCACTCCATAGTCCTTGGATAGGAAATCACAAAGATTATTCAATGCACAGTTCAACGAAATTTGGTTGCGGCTCAATATTATTGCATAAGAGAACTAGTTTTGGCTGCTTTTTGTTTCTAACCACCACCAACTTACTTATTATCAAGAAGAACTTATTGTAAACCCCTTTATAATAAATTACTACCTAAACAAAAGGTACATGTACATACACAGTTAAATATATCCCAGTAGAGAAATCAAAATGTAACACCATATGGTAAATTTGACTTGAAAAAAATGACAATGAGTTGTAAATGTTATACAAGGAGACTCTCTCCCGATAAACATGTAAGCCTATTTAATATTCATTACAAATGTCAACTAACACAATATAAAATGCATGCAACATCCAAAATTGATCATTGCACACGAAATTTAAAATTCAAAATAGATGGTAATTGAATGCGTTTCTGTCTGACCAGCTCTTAATAGATTCAAATGTTTGGAAAAATGTAAGCGATCCTGTGCACACTGTCCACAGTGAATGAGTGAATTACATTAAGCTTACATGTTGTAAAATTGCCAATTTGGATCCTATAAACGCTAAATCAAAGTTTCTTCACAGTCCTTCATAACCCTCGTCATTCCTCCCCTTCAGCTATTTGAATTTCAAGTAGTCTGAGATTTGAAAAGGAAAACTTGGACTTTGTACTTACGTATTTCTCCTGCCGTTCGCTGCGTTCGCCATGTGCTCACTGCTTCGATCCTTCGACAAACCCGGCAGCAAAAATAAAGGCAGATTCACTTGGTAAAAACCAGCAAGCTTGAAAAATATTCATGATAAACTATTTTTAAAGATGTTAAGTGTATTTCAGCAGTTAAAATTGCTCAGGAGACTGTATAAAGCGGCGAAAGAAGTGAGAGAAGTCAACGTACCACAGACTACACCAAAACCTTCCCACTGGCGTAGAAGGATTTCCCGCTACGGCTGGATGAGAACAACTGACATGCGCAATGACTAGTTTTTTGGACAATTTTACTTCCGGTAGCCATAGCAGCGCCAGCCGTAGCAATTTGCTTAAACTCCCTAGTATGCTCATCAGAAACGTGTACACCACGTCTTTCCCATGGTACATGAACGGGTTGTGCATCTGGCCATCACTTGTCAAGATTATGTATGAAAAGCCGCAGGGTTCCTAGACTCCTGTTTTTATTGTCACCTGGCCTTTATAGTGCAGCCATGTATCTTTTTCACTTGTGACTCAAAGTCTGCGTACACTACAGCTGGCGCTTTCATCTGCTTGTGGGAGTTCTTGAATGCCACTTTGTTTTCACCCTCTTGGGGGAGCTCGGTCCTTGTGGGCCTTTTCAGCTGCCCCTGGCATTTGGGTTTGTGTCTTTCAAGCAGCTCTGCTATTGTATAGCCATTCAGACAGCGTTCTCAAGAATGTTTTTTGTTATTGTCCTTGTTTTGAACGTGCATCAGTGTGCTCAGCCGCCGCACATAAGTGTTGCGAATGCCAAGACTCAACAGGCCATTCTTCGCAAACTTCACAAGTTTATTTTAAGATCACAAGGTTTGCTTTCCTCTCTTGCTCTGACTGTACTTGTACTAAAAAGACTCAACACAGCACTCCTTAAAACTTAGCGAAACCTAATTTGATTGGCTTACAACCTTTTCTAAACAGTTTCTTTGATCATGGAATATTACCTGACACACAAACTTACCTGTTTTGTCGATATGATGAAACACATTTAGAATCTGCTGCTAATTAACTGGTAATCATCGACTCAACTAATTGAGACTGTCAGGCACATGCTTCCGATTTCTATTATTCCTAGATTCCCTGAATCATGCAACTTAAAAATAGGATAAACTGCCACACAATTAAATTGGAACTTTCATGACACACTCCCCTATTTGTCCCTGAAGGGCGGCAAATACTAAATGTCCAAAGTTCAAAATTCCTACTCGATAGTATGGTCAACGTTTAAGTAAACAAAGTTCTCAATGTTCTTAAAAGCCTTGCTCTTGCTCTGCTATATCCTGGACACGCAATCTGGCTGCAACTGTGGTGTCTCGCCTTGGTCTAAAGGTTTTTGCTTCAGGGTTCAGCATGGAACTCAGGACTGCGGAATCTTTCAACATGTCTCAAGACAGCTCCAGTGGGTACAATTGTTGAACAGCTCATTCCAAATGTTTCTTCCCAGCTCGTAGTCTAACAGCTCTCACAATACTGTCCTGCCCAACTGTTGGTTCCTCCACAATGCCAAGTCTCCACTTGTGTCTGTCTTTGTTTTTGTCTTTGATGATTACGACATCTCCAACTGCTACACTGCGTGAAGATCTCTTGTGTTTAAGATTGTGCCGTTCCTTAGACCACGTAAATATTCTTTTGTCCAACGTTGCCACATGGCCTCCTTGCATCTTTGTGAGTACTTGGCACCTTTCCTGAGCTCCAGATCTTCTTTGTGATGTGGTGGCATTTCTGGAATTGAGTTTGGTTGAGTGCACAGCATCAAGTTGGGTGTAAGCACTGGCAGTTGGACATCTTCAACATAGGAAAATGGACAGTTGTTTAGAGCCACTTCAACATCCAATAGAACTTCTTTCAGCTCATCATAGGTCAGTTGAGCATTTCCAATGCTTTTTCTCGTTGCTCCTTTGACTAGCCCCACCATATGCTCGAATTGACCTCCCCACCAGGGTGCTCTGCTGAGATTGCATTGCCAGGAGATTTGCAGGTGGGCAAGAAAGTCGCTCAATTTCTCATCGTGCATGACCTGACGAATCCAAGTTGCTGCTCCAAGGAAGGTACTACCATTGTCTGAATAGATTTTGCTGGGTCTGCCACACCTAGCTATTAGCCCTTTCAAGCTTAGGAGGAATTCACTGATTTCCAAGCTCCTCGTCAGGTCAAGATATAACACTCTCGTTAAACTGCAAGCGTACAAGATGATGTATGCTTTGCCTTCTCGTTTGCTTGAGATTTGGTACTTGATGGGGCCTGCATAGTCAACTCCCATGACTTGAAAGGGTGTGGTTTCCTCTGTTCGGTCCCTTGGCAGTAACCGAGGAGGTGGAGCAGCAAGTGCTGTTGCTTGGAATCTCTTACAGCCAGCACCCTTCTTGATAATGCATTTCACAAGGTGCCTGATTCATGGAACCCAGTGCTGTTCACACACTTTGGCCGTTGTCATGCCCGCCCCACCGTGCAGAGTACTTTCGTGAGCTTCTTGAATAAACTTTTTGGTGTAGACTGCTATTTCTGGAAGATATACAGGGTAGACACCTTGTATTCTTCCTCGGCACTCCAGCAGGTCATTGTTGTTCAACTGCAGGTTGAGTTTCTGGCGGTCTTCTTCAAACTTCTCCGATCTCATCCCTTCTTGCTGTGCTCTCCTCTCCCAGAATCGTCTTTGGACTTTCAGCTCTTCTGAAGTTAGTGGACCCTTTTTTCTTTCTGGTGATAGGTGTCTGCTGTTGTGGATAAGTCTCGCCATCCACGCACATATTACACGCCATACGTTGTGTTTGTGGAGCAGCTTGTCAAGCTCATTTACGTCTTTGTTGTCAGTGAACTTGAAAATCTCCCTGACCGTCTTAGCTTCTGCTAATGTTTCTGCAGTTGCACTGGTGTTATATCTTCTGGCCAAGCACCTGGGTCTGACAGCCACTTCGGCTGGTACCACCAGAGCTCGTTGTCTTGTTTTACTTGTCCTCCGTGGCTCCCCAGGTCCGCTGGATTCTCCTTAGTGGGCATGTGTCTCCATGTTATCTATTACTTCTGTTGAATCTTGAGCACCCTTTGTGCACAAACTGCTTGTAGTTACCATTCCCTCTAATCCAAGGTTTCTGTCTAACCAACAGTAACCTTGATCGACTGGATGACCTTTCAATACTTCTTTTACGTTAGTGGCTAAGTTTGCGGCCATGTGACCAGCGACTAGCTCCAGGCACGGTATTGTGAGGCCCTGTTTGGGCAATCTTGCCTTTGCTGCTACTATCCCTTGTGTTACTCCAAAGGGTTGCATCACCACTGTAAATGCTGCTGCTGCCACGCCCACCCTACTTGCATCTCCAAACACGTGAAGGGCTATGCTGATGATTGGCTCCTTTCAGGCAGGCTTGACTCCCAATGAGTCCATTGTCTGGCAAGATCAGGACATAACTGCTCATCCCAGCCAGCTCTTAGATTACAGGGGTCCTGATACAGTAGCTTTCCACTAAGTGAGAGGGGTGACGTCATTCCAAGGGGATCGTATATGCTTGCTACTTTGGCTAGAACTCCTCTCTTGGTATTGTCGGCCTTCGGGGTGGGTACTGTGACACTAAGTACATCTCTGAGCTTGTCCCACTTCAGGCCAAGTAGTGAACTTTCTCCCCCTGAAGATATCCCCAGTTGCTGTTTGGCAAAGGTGTGGTCTGCACTCCAATCGGTTTCGTTAGGGGCTACCTCAGGAAACTTTGAATTCCATTTATGAAGCTTGAAGGCATCATCAGCAAAGATCTCCTTGGCTGCAATTTTCATTTCTCTTGCCTTGGAAGTTGTTGATCCCCCGCTTATTACATCATACATACAAACTCTTTTTGATCTTGCATACAATTTCAGGCTGCTTGTGGCTCCAGGTATCGAAATGTTGCTCAATTTCTCCTGCCTGGAGGAAGGGCGAGGAACCCAAACCGAACAGTGCTCTTGTGAAGTGGAGTGTCTCTATTTCCTTGGACTCCACGTTCTTCAGCCAGTGGAACCTGAGGGCATCCCTTTCTTCTAGTCAGATTCGGACTTGTAGAAAGGCTTTCTTGATATCACCAGTGATTGCAACTGGATTGAAACGCCCTCAAACCAACACACTCCATAGCTTGTTTTGTAACGGTGGACCAGTGTTCAGACATTCATTTAGAGATGGCGCACTGTCCCAGGCCCTTGCGGAGGCGTCGCATACGTTCCTCAACTTGGTGCTTTCAGTGGTTTCATGCACCACTCCCTTGTGGGGAATATAGAATTCCCGACCTTGGAAGGTGTTTGGGGCGCACTCCACTATTCCATCAGCCAACTGCTCTTGAATTATGGCATTGTACTGGCCCATGGACTTCGTCTTCCCTAGCTTCCGCACCAGACTAGCCAGTCTGTGCAGACTTCCTTATTGTTTGGCAAGGGAGGATGATTTCCCCTCCATGGGAGACCAGTTTCATACCATCGTTCTTCGCTCCTACGCAGCTGCTCCTTGAACTCTTTGTACATTATGCTCTGATCGCCTGTATGGGTATCTGCTAAACCAAGAACGTCCAGTTTACACAGTTCTTCATAGTCTATGATAGAGGTTTGTGTGAGAAGCATGTTGGTCGCATCTAGTTCCTGGTCTGGTGAAGTGATGGTCCAACCAAACTTAGTGTAACTTGCAACTGGATCCCATTCTCTTCCCACGCGTTGAGGCTCGGTGGTGCTTATTCTGCAGCATTCACTGTTACCAAGGTTAAGGTGAACTGGTAGGCAAGCTTTATCATCTGCGTCATCCATGGTCACACCCTTCAGATGGGGATATTTCGCTAGAAGGTTCTTGTAATGGGGGTTCTTTAACATCACGAGTCGAGGCTTGTCCACTTTAGTAACGTCTGCTTCCATCTCGAAGTCTCCCTTGAGCAAGCGTAGCTTGATTCGGTAAATGTCCATGGTTCGGCTAACTGTGCCTAGCATCATCTCTATCTTGCGCATCCCAGAGTGATGCAATCATGCTCTGATTTGCTCAATGAGTGCAGCTGAGGTGTACGAGCTGCCTGCTCCGGAATCCAGTAAAGCTCGACATTTCACTCCAGTGACTTCTATGACAACCATGGGGTACACCACTGGGCCATTACCTGCTTGGGCAGCTGTCATTGAATTTTCTGCCATTTCCGTTTTGTCACAGATCGATGTGTGATGTCTTCGCTTCCACACGAAACATCTTCTGCTCCTGCGTTTGGTGACCTTGTGATCGGATCCTGTGCAGTTGAAACAGGCTCTTAAGTTGAAGAATTCTTTTCCTTTGAGATGGCTGGGTTACGTTACTGCGCTCATGTGACCGGTGATCCGTGCTGTCACAATAGACACAGCTGCGCAAAGGCATGTCCCCCTGATGCGTTTGATAAATTGGATAGTTCGGGGGCTCCTGGTTCTTGTCAATGACTTTGACAGGTAAAGGATTCCGTTCCGTCCACTTACGCAGGGCATCCACTAACTTCCGGAAGTCCCAGGTCTGTCAGTCGTCATCAGTTCTTACCAGATAACTTCGTATTCCTTTCAGCTTATCAATGGTCATTCTTACATTCCCATTAACTTCCTTTAGCTTTCCTAACATTTCTAACACTTGTACATTGAACAATAAATTCTCATAAAACTGATGGATTTTTTACTGGGTTTGAACCGCTTATTGTCAGTAACACCATTATGTTTTGCACATAAGCATTAACTACCTCTGAAGTTTTCCCATACTTGCTTTTGAGGATGTTTTTGGCGTGCTCATACCCCTCACTTGAGAATGGGAGGCCATCGATTTTGGCTCTAACTTTGGTAACCAGGAGATCCTTCAGATGAGCGAGTTTTGTTACACCAGCTAAGTCACTGCAACTGTCTATTTCTGCTTCAAAAATATTCCAGAAACAGAGCCAATCTGTGTAAGAACCATTGAACTTAGCAATTGTTAACTTGGGAAGCTTCGTGCGCTGTGCCTCGCTGGTTTTGATTTCGCTCACCTTTGTTGTCTGATTCTTCTTACATTCTTCTATTGTTAATTTGTACTGGAGCTTCTGTTTGTGTTTGAGTTCTGCTCGCTCAAATGCTAAATGTTCCTCGTGCTCTTTCGCCCTAAGAGTACTCTCCTTTTCCTTAGTGTGAAGGTCTTCTTCAGCTTTGATTTTAGATAAACGCTCAGATAAAAGGGGGAGTTTAGTGTTGACCTCAGCTACGTGACCTTCAATACCCGCGGTCCAACTATCAATGGCCTCGTCCAATACTTCGAGCCTTACTTGATCTAGGCTTGCCACTATGGTGGTTAGCACTTCCCGATGTCTTGTGATTGCGAGCACACTATTGGACTTGAGTATTTTGTTGGTTTTTCCCAGGGTACAATCAAGGAGTTTTACTTTACCTTTGACGTCTGCTTGAAGGTTTTCCATGGTTGATTACAAGACTCTTGTTAAACGACTTCCAGGTCCCATTGGAGGTGCCACTGTGTTGCGAATGCCAAGACTCAACAGGCTGTTCTTTGCAAACTTCATAAGTTTATTTGAAGATCACAAGGTTCGCTTTCCTCTCTTGCTCTGTGTACTTGTACTAAAAAGACTCAACACACGGCACTCCTTAAAACTTAGCAAAACCTAATTTGATTGGCTTACAACCTTTTCTAAACAGTTTCTTTGATCACAGAATATTACCTGACACGCAAACTTACCTGTTTTGTCGATAAGATGAAACGCGTGTACAATCTGGTGCTAATTAATCGGTAATCATCGACTCAACTAATTGAGACTGTCAGGCATGTGCTTCCGATTTCTATTATTCCCAGATTCCCTGAATCACGCAACTTAAAAATAGGATAAACTGTCACACAATTAAATTAGAACTTTCATGACATGAGAATAGTGAGATTTTTCTTTGTCCTGTATAAGCATCAAGTTGATTCTTGGGAGGTCTTCCTCTTTTTTGCTGAGTCTATGCACGATTATGCAGTCTTTTTCCCAGCGAAACACATTTATTGCCAGTTTGGGGTTTTGCTTTTCTAGTTTATTAATCTGTGATATGGGTGTGAGAAATTCTATTCCTGTAAAATTCAACCTGTCTTCTGTGGGGTAGCTTGATGTTCTTGCCACATTTTTACCATCTGTTAGTGGAAATAATGCCGCATGTAGCGCTCATCTCAAGCTTTCGTTGTGACAGTTTTGCACGTTGATTATTGCTTTCTGTGTGGGATTTCCCCACACATTTTCAGGACTGGTGATATTTCTTTCTTTATTTATTTGTATATGAGAGCCAAGTGTTTGTCACATG